ATCTAGATTTAAGGAGGATGATAGTTAAACAAATTCTAATTGAGAGTGCTCCACTTAAGATGGTAGAACCCTCCACATGTAAATTAGTTTTTTGTAATTTTTTTTCCCATACCTAAATTTCCCATTATTTAAAAAAGGACTTAATAGATTATTATTGCTTTGTATATCAACTTGTGTAACACTCTCCAATTCTTATTTAGCTACTTATTATTGTTTTAACTTAGCAGACGCAAGGAATGGTATGCAAAATAATATATGAAAGTGGTAGATTGACTTTTGTAGGAGAATCCAGGCAAAAACAAAGAAATCTAGTATTCACACCTTCGGTACAACAGTGGTTTGTAAAAGTGAAAAACAGAAGTGATTAATTTTTCCTTTCTTTTTTTTTAATTGAAGATTTAATGCTAATTATTCGTCATGAACTTCAATTTAGTCTATTAAAAATGAATGGAATAAGTAATAAAATTTATTGAGTAATACTTGAAAAAGTGTTTGAATAGGATAAATTTTATAAGTGAACACGGCCTCCAGAACTTAAATGTATGAATGACAACAGCATCATCTAATTTAGTGAAACATGACGCAAATGCGTGAAAGATTCACTGGAATGTGCGTGAAAGTGATGTACAAATTTTCAACATATATAAAAGATTCACTGTAATCAAAATATCTAATTTTTATAGTATTAGAAATGCAGAGATGCATGGTTTTGAACTGATATATAAAGACTAAAAATAAAAACTCTTACATTCATATTCTACCCAAAAATAAAACAATAATAATAATAATAATAATAATAATAATAATAAATCAACATGCTTTCTCTGTACCCAACTTTTGAATGTTGCCAACAGGGGCAAATCAGAAGTCTCCGGGCATGAATGGTAATAAAATCTATAAATGATGATGAACAGGGATGCAACAAATGTAGCAACAAGAGCATACTTGTTATCCCCACATGCAAAAACTGCCACTTGCATAAATAGATCCAAGAACAAATTCAAATAGCCAAGATCAGGAGGATTCCGTCGGAGTTGATACCAGGTATGAATTTGCATAACAAACCCTGAGAAGACTTCGAGATTGGTGTCGGTAAACCCCCACAAGCACTGCAATATTACAGCAAAAGACAAGGCAAACAACTCCAAACCATGTTTTGTGCAACGTCCCACTGGTTTACAGGGCAAGTATCGAGATACCATAGCAAGATAATAATAGAAAAACATAACCAATATGATGGACAGGCAAATCACTGACACCACGAAAACCGCCAATGGAGTGGCCTCAGTAGTTGTTTTCATATCATCGCCCAGCCAGGGCACTGAAAAAACTATAAACGCGGAGATTGTGTAGCCCAGACTACCACAATGCGACCAAAAGACTATCACACATCGAGTGCGTTCGTACAATTTCAAAGGAGAAAAATGGCACCTTCGCCTCCATCAAATTTCAGAGAAAGAAGACTCGCCGGAGATGGAGAGGGTGGCCGGTTTTCTTGTAAGGGTAAAGTGAAGCTATTAGGGCTCGCGGAGAACTGGAGAAGGTGAATGGGATGTGAATATTTTCTACTGGGCCGGCCCGTAAGAACTATCTATTAATGGGTTTCCTCCATTAGGAATTTACGATAAACGCTGGCCCAAAATGCATCTCCTTATTTGTCTATCTGATTCATTATTTGGTGACTAGTAGTGGGAAGGAAATTTTGGAAGATTTTATTTTTCTTTATTATTAATATTTTTAAAAAAAACGTAAAAAAGACCCCTAAGAAACTCTTCATAATTTGAAACCTATAAAAAATCTCAAAGTTAACTACCAAACTCTCAATTTGTATTTTGACTTACACATGACTTAGTGGATAATTTTGAGTTTTTTATGAATTTCAAATTACAAAAAAATGTTAATTGTAAATAAGTTAGTATATATTCTTTTTGGAAAAAGTGTTGATTAATTTGAGTTGTATCGAATTACATAATGTACTATTGAATAGGAGTTGAGTCTTTTAATATTGGGGGTCTTCCATCATTTAATAGTCCTTTTTTTACAATTCAGTGCAGTCTGAATTGTAAAACAAAATTTCATTTTTCTTTGAAAAATAATCTCAAATTTTAGAAGACAAAAAAAAAAAAAGGAAACGAATGATTTTGAACAACTGTGCTTAAGTCAAGAAAAATAAGTTTTCTTAGGAGGTGAATTTTATGCCGTTGTAGCCCCACCAGTGCCTCTTGAGAATGTTGAAAAAGAAATGCAAGTAAACATCTGTCTCCTTAAATGTTTTTGAAGACAACCATTTAATTAACCAAATCATCGAAATTTTTTAATGCAAAATAGTATATACATAAATATATAAGTCCCTCTCTAAGAACTAACCAAAACATCTTTAGTGTCTAAAACTAAATCCTTTCCCTATGAACAGTGAAGGAAACATTCAAAAGTTAAACAAAGAACCATTCAGGTTGGTTGCTGGGTCTCTAGCTAGCTAT